ATCATAACATCAACCTTAGTAATGCCCCATCCATCCTTATCCACCGATAGAGATGACCAAATAGATAGCTTAATACGATGGATAAGCTTATCTACAGGCAATGCCACACCCTCAAATATTCTTCTGTTTCTCTCCTTCCAAACTTCCTAGAGAGTCATTCCTTATGCAATCTTCCAAATCGTGCTTCTAACCTTAGGCAAACATGGAATACTAAATTATGATACTATCCCAACCACTTTCTGGGGCAACGATAAAGAGAAACCAGCTTCACCAATTAACCATTACCATATATTCAACATATATGAGCAGCGGATTAATAGATGGTCAATTGACTCACCATCCAATTTGCAGAGTAGACAAATATTGGGAAGAATTTTCCCTCGTTTTTATAAATTGTCAATTGTTAAGATTTTATCTTATGCAGCTAGCTAGATGAAAACTTGAACTTTATGTGGTATTGGGCACTTCCAAATTTACACAATTTTGAGGGACGATCATCTTTAGCAGTCGTGAAAGAGAAGATTATAACATGATTTAACTGAAGACATACCATCCCTTTCAATTTCCTATACCATAATATCATACGCCCCCTGAGAAATATAGACTTTGTGCAAGAGTTCCATTAGTGTGCACCATTGGGATAACATGTCATTATTTAACCTTCTATACAAGAGGGGTATGTCCCACACGAACTGTTGACCTCTTATCTCAACTACATTACTAATTTTATGATAAGGAAAGGCAACAACCCTAAAAAGATCAGGGATAACAAACTTCAATGGGTACTCCCCAAGCCATTATGATATCAAAACAAAATTTGTTTGCCACACCCCACATTCAATCTAAAGTATCCCATGACCATAGTCCTGCAATTGAAAATAACCCGCCACATATAAGACACCTCCTTCCCTCTACCACCCCCAATCCACAAGTTTGCATGTTCGTCCCATATTTTGTCCATAAAACTTGACATCATAGATGATTCTTTAGGTGTAAACTCTGCCACCACCATTCACAAAGCAATGCCTAGTTAAACTTCATAACTTTCCGTATACCCAATCCATCTTCACGCTTGGGTGTGCAAACACTATCCCACCTTAATAAATGAAACTTCCTACTCTTCCCACTTGATCCCCAAATGAAGGCTCTCATCATCTTCTCAATTCTCTTTGCAACCGTTGCCGGCATATGAATAAGGGACATTTGGTACACGGGTAGATTCGCGAGGCTGGACCTAAGCAAAGTGACCATTCCCCCCAAAGATAGGTACTTGTGTTTCCAAAGGTCAAGCTTGACTTGAATTCTCTTAAGTACCCTATCCCATACTGCAATAGGGAATTTTGAATCTGAAATCAAAAGGCCCAAATAAGTAATGGGGAATGAATCCATTCTACGTCCCATCACCTTGGCCAACTCACTCACAATTGACTCACTACAGTTGACACCCACCATAGAGGACTTATGAAAGTTAACCTTATGTCCTAAAGTCACTTCATAAATTTCTAAAAATTTTGTGACATTCCTCACTTGTGAGGTCTCAGTATCAATATAGATTAAAGTACCATCCGCATACTGAAGATGAGAGGCGAAAATATATGAGTTTGCAATTTGGAAGCCCTCAAATGCCCTTGCGCTCTCCACTGTGCTTAGCATAAGACTAAATCATTCAGCATAAATCGTAAATAAGAAGGGGAAAGGGGATCTCCTTGACGTAAACCTCTAGTAGCATTACAATAGCTTATCGAGCTACCTTTAAAAATAATAGAGAAATATGTTGAGGATAAGCAACCAGAAATCCAATTTCTCCACCGATCTCGAAATCCCATCCTTTTTAAAATCTCTAATAGTAGTCCCCATTCCACCCTATTATAGGCCTTTTCCATATCCAGCTTTAGCAATATGCTTGTTTTTTTACTCAGAACTCGTGAATGAATACATTCTTGCGCCACCAACACATAGTCTATTATTTGGCAGTCTTGAATAAAAGCTGATTATGTAGTTGAAATGAGAAAAGGAAGAACCGCCTTAAGACGTTTTGCAATAACCTTATAGACACTTGTAAACAGACTTATAGGCCTAATATCTGAGAGCTCATTAATCACAGATTTCTTCGGTATCAAAGCAAGGAGGGTGGAATTGATACCTTTAAAAATATGATCAGGGATCATGAACTCTCTTACAACCGCCAATAGGTAATCTTTGACTAAGATCCAAAATTGTTTTAAAAAAAGCATGGGAAAGCCATATGGACTCGGTGCCTTATCATCAGGCAATGCAAAAATAACATGATGCAATTATTGGATAGAAATCCCACTCTCAAGAGAACATCTCTGCTCTTCATTCAGCATCGTAAAATGGATATTCGAAAAGCTTGGAGTTATCACCACCTCTTTAGTAAAAGCTTTTTTAAAATGGTTGATGACACCCTCTGCCATGGTATTATTATCCTCAAGATCTAACTGGTCAAACCCAAAATATCATTCTGCTTTCTTTTCGCGTTGGCTATAGCATGAAAAAATTTAGTGTTCAAATCACCTTCCTTTAACCATTTATTCATGGATCTCTGTTTCCAATAAAGTTCATCAAATCTTCTCAACTCCTTTAACTCCTTCAGTTTCACCCTACAATCCATCACCAACTGTTCCGTTAACACCCTACTTGTCTGAGCATTAATATCTATCAGTTCAATCTCAGTTAGGACTGCATCGATCTTAGCCTTAAGATCGAATTTATTCTCTTTTCTTCCATCCCAACAATTTGTGTTTTATATTTGATACTTTTTTTTGTATTTGGAAATCCATGGAGCCCACCACGACAGTATTGGGCCACGGCCTCTAAATCAGCTCAACCACTTTTGAATTTTCTAGCCAACTAACCTCAAATCTAAAAGGTTTTGGCCCACCCCTAAGAGAACCCGTAATGAGAAAAATAGGGAGGTGATAAAAAGACAACCTAACCAAGGCTTTCACAAAAACAAGCCGGTAAAGACTCGACCAAGATGAAACACTGCTCAAGTACAAAAAACTATAAACAACAAGTATATACTGCAACTAAACTACAATAGACTGTGAAACATATTGGAAATATCAGATAGGGGGTATAAAAAAACAAAAGGGCCGGTAGGGAGTGGTCTTCATGTAAATTTGGTCAAGATATGGATCAAAATATAGTATTGTGTAAAAAAATATGGTCTTTACGTAATTTTAACTTTTTTTTTAATTTAAAATGGTGGATTTGAAACTTGAACCATCTTTTTTTATTTTTTGTTGAAATGATGGTTCAAAACTCATGCTCGAAGACCCACACATGTAGAAAATATAAAAAGATTGAGAAATTGACGTTCCGAACCCAGGGCAGGCTGCACAAATACCCTTAGATTTGATAGTTAGTATTTTAGATGTGAAGAAAAAAGAATAAATAGAATAGTTGATAAATTGATGTCATGGTGTTATTTGATAAATAGAAAAATAAAAATTATTGGTATTTTTATGGGATGCAAAATAAAAAAAGGCCTAGGTTTTATAAAAACAAAGCAAAACCTCACCTCGAATCTTCGTCCGTAAAGCACTTTGGACATTATAAAGCTTCATGATGGCTCTAGAGTCAATTTCAAATCCTCATTATAAAGTTTGAAACTCCAAAAATTGTACAACTATTTTGGATTCGTGAATACTTATTTTTAGACTGAAATAGATGGTCTAGATAATGTGTTACAATATATACTATTTTCACAGCTTGAATTCTTAAGTTTTTTATTTTCATAACTATAATGGTCAAGACCGAGATTGTTGGTTCGAAAGTTTTCCAATGCCATTAAACATAATTTTTTGTGAGAGTTGAGGTGATGTTTTAGTAATTCTGATAGGGCTACAACCCTATTAAAATAATTTCATTAGGAAAAAGTTTGCATAAGGTTGTAACATTAAAATGTAGAATTAATGTGTACCTAAAAATCCATAGTAAAATACCGTTTTGAAGTTGGAAAACCCTCTAACTGATCATCTCGGCATCAAGATGTATGAATATATAAAAAAAAAAAAGGAAGAAGGAAATTTCTAGTCCCAGAAATAGTTTATCTTGCAACACATTATTTAGATTGTGCATTTTTTAGATTTTCATATGTTTATAGATCTATTTGAGTTAAATCATTTTTGAGGTTTAAAATTTTATAATTAGATATAAAAATAGATTCTCATGACATTTTAAAAATTTTGAACATCAAAAGTATATCTTGTTATAAATTTTGGTGGTGCACCTTATTTTTGATTAACCTTATGCAAACCACGCTCTTTTCCTTTTAGATATGGCTTGGCATACAAAAATTAACTTTACTCTCCATTCTCCACATAACACGGCCAAAAAGCATTTAATAAAGGGTGTAGTTTGCATAAGATTGCAACTTTAAATAATAAAAGTAAGGTGCACTTCCATGATCTATAGTAAGATGTAATTTTGGCGTAAAATATTATTATGATGGCTTAATAATTAATTTTTATTTCTAATTATAAAATTTTAAATTAAAAAACGACTCAAATTAAATAGATCCATAAACATATGAAAATATTAAAAATAGACTATCCAAATAATATAATGCAAGATGCATTATTTTTTATACTCAAATATTTCTTTTTTTCATATTCATATATAGATCAATTAAAGTGTTATCCAACTTGTTTTTTACGATATATATTTTGTTTTCCAACTTGCTTCTTGCAATAGATTTTTTTAGGCGCAGCATAATTCTATATTTTTAACGTTGCAACTTTATATGAGCTTTTCCCCTTTCATAAATTTTGTCGCGAAACTTAACGAAAAATTCACCTGAAAAGTTCGCCAAAATGTCCAGGGAAATGATTTCTCAACCCTTATTCTTTCCCATTTTACGCTTCCACCCGTTATCACGTACGATAATTCACCGACTCTAAACGGTAAATGTATTCAAAAGTCGACTTTGCCGCCAATAATACACTGCTCGAAACCCATGTACAATGGTTCTCAACTCCCTATAAACACACCTCTCTCTCTCTCTCTCTCTGCAAAGAAGCATACATCTCTCCCTCTCTCTCTAAACTGCAGCGCTAAAAATCGATTGATTCATTTTTTAGCAAACCCTCGCCGGGAAATGAGAATTTCGGCGGGTCTTCTTACGCCAAGATGCTTACCAGCGGCGGAAAATGCAGTTCCCTACGAACCGAGTGAAGCAAACCTCAGCTGTTGCAGAGGTGTCTAGGGTTTCAAATGAGAGGGAGCTATCATTTGTGGAAACAAAGGGTACAGATATGCCACCTGAGAAATTTCACCCTCGTCCTGTTAATTTATCAGTGAACGGAAAGAGTGATTCTATGCCTTTTGGAAAATTGATGCAAAAGTTTGTAGTGGAAGATGAACCAGAAGTCGATGGAAAAGGGTAAATGTGATCAAACCTTTGTTTTTAAATCATTTATGCTTTCTTTTTTGTTTCTTTGTGCTTTGATTAACTCTTTGTTTTGGATTGATGCAAGCTTTAATATCCTGTTCACTTATGGTTTTATTAAGCGGACATTTTTCTTTTAAATTCAGTTTTTTGTTGTTTTAATACGGAATGTGCCGGTTTTAGCTACGGATTACAACCTTTTATGTTTTTCCTTTAATTTATGTATCTACTGCGATTGATTGGTTTATTGTAATAGTGTTACCTTTGTGGAAAATATAGAAACCTGCACTGTCCACTGTAAAACAAAATCGAAGAAAATTCCCCGGCACATAAATTTTCTACCCATAATTGGGCCCCCATCGTGCAGTCTTCTCACCTCATATTTATTTTTGAGTTCTTTTCTTGTCTTCTGTTTGTTTTGTAGGATGGCTGATCATCCAGGTGATCGTCTTGTCTTTGGCGGAATGAGTCGTGGTGCCGCAGGTGCTGGTTCTTCGCGTTCGGGGCCTCCCACCAACCCTATTTCGTATGATGTGGGGGCAGTTTCTGAGAAGATTCGCCAGTCAGTGAGGAATTTGGAGCTTGTTGGGGTCAATGTCAGTCGTTTCAGCCTGGAAGCTATCATTCGTTAGAATCTCACCTCTGATCTTTTTCTCAGATGTACCAGGGTACTGACTTCTGTTGTTGATGTTGAGGTGTTTGAGTTTGAGACAATGTTGGCTGTGTGTATCAGGGCTAATATCATCAATTCCTTTAGGAACTTGACTCCCAGGTCACTCCTGGCTTGTTGCAATTATCGTACTACTCCTGGTGGCCATGATGCGATGGCTCAAGCCATGCCCAAACTTAAGCTTGAGAAGAAAGTCCCGACTGGGTTGACGCCACAAGATGCCTCTTATGCCCAGGTCCTCAGTATTCAGCAGCAGGATATGTTTGCTCAGATCAAGCAGGTTAGGTCTGAGTATGATCGAGAGCTTGATGATTTGAGGAGGCAAATTATGATCGGACAACAAAACAAGGAGGCGGAGTTACGAAATATCCGTGAGCAGTATTTCCTGGCTACTGGCTATCAGGACCTGGTCTCGAAGATCTTCTCAACAGGTGTTGGACCCGTTATCTGAAGGAGCGCAATCAGTTGCACATTGCACCAGCCACTAAGGATGATCTTACTTTGAAGATGGTCGTCGAGCCTTTCGGTGCTATTATCAAGAATGAAATGCGTTCTGAGTTTTGCCGCCAGGAGCACGTTCGTAATGCTCTGGTTCTATATCTTCAAGATAAGATTCGACTCTTCACTACTGAGAGAAATGTCCGTAAGTTAAATACTTTTCGGAATCTCTTGGCAGCAGTGGGCGGTGAGACAACTCCATTACCTACCACTCAAGCAGAGGAAGATGTAGGTCGAGCAGATTCCAGTGGGGAGCCTAGTTCTACCGGGGGAGCGGATGGCGAACCAACCTCTGAGGGAGTTCCTGCCCCAGTGGGTGCTGAAGGTGAGGTCCCAGCGGGGGGAGAAGGTGAAGAAAGGGTTGAGGCCCCAGATTGAACTCTCCGGTGGGAAAACGAGCTGCTCCTGACCACCCGCATCTGCATTTACACGCAGCCCAGAGAGGTAAGGCCCTGCGGACTGGCGGTGTCAAGAAGTAGTTTTGAAGCAGGGGTCCGGTGCATCATCGGTGGAGGCGAGATGCGCAGTTGGATTAATGCCTCCAGTATGTACAGAGGTGAGATGCGCAGTTGGATTAATGCCTCCAGTATGTACAGAGGTGAGATGCGCAGTTGGATTAATGCCTCCAGTATGTACAGAGGTGGGTGCTAGTTCCAATGATGCTTACAGGTTACTGTCTCAGGCAAGGGATGATATGCCTGGGAATTTTCTTCAATTTTGTTTTACAGTGGACAGTGCAGGTTTCTATATTTTCCACAACCTTCATATGATATTGTGGTTTTTCCCTTTTAGTTTATTTTGTTTGACATTTCATTTTTTGGTATTAAATTTACAATCAAATTTAGAGAGTCTCTGTAGCTTACTTCTATCAATAGTTGGGTGTTTCTATGCAATGTCACCGTGTTCATATGATTTTGGTTCGTCTCTGTAGCTTACTTTTATCAATAAAATACGAAATACAGTTTCTATTCTTCTGATGAGTTGGCAGGATACTAAAATTTATCAAGAAATGGCACAAAAAAAGAAAGAAGAAGAAGAAGAAGAATAAGAAGATGATATCTTTCTTAACTGTCACTTATTGGCTATTGCAGGAAACAGATAGGAAAAGGTACTGTTAGTTCCAATCCAAAATTGCAACAAACTTTTGATGAGGATATAGGTTTATCAAAGCAGAGAACTCCCTTTAGGCCCCCATTGAAGATCGGTGCTACTAATTTATGTTGTAGTATTAAAAATAGTGGTTCTCAAACTACTGAAACTACCCCTGAAGGCATAGAGAGTACACCAGAAAAATTGCAGTCACGGCCTCGTTCCAGCAGGTTCTTCAAAAAGGAAGAAAGTAATTCTGTGTCTTTTGAAAGTTTAATGGGCAAGTTTGTCGTGGAAGATGAACCAGAAGGGGATGAAAAAAGGTTTCTTGGGAGTAAACCTTATTTTTATTGTAATTCATGCTTTATTTTATTTAGGGAAATTTAACAAAATACTAAACCTTTCAACATTTACCCATCTGCAACTGCTCTAACTCAAGACCGTGTATTTTTTATCGGTATTTTGAAATTAAATAAAAATATATCGGTAAAGTGTTTGTTCATGTACATTTGTCAAGAAAATAAAAAACGTTAAATTGTTCATCTCTATGGAATTTAATAATTTTCCTTTTTTCTTTTTTCTTTGATATTTGTTTTTGCATGATCTGGTGTTAATTACATGTGCTGTTTATTCTGATAAGGCGTGGAGTATTGTCACATATATCTGTCTGATTTCTGTTTCATTCTAGTTCATTATGTCTTGTTGTTTTCTTATTTCATTATTTAGCCTGAAACTAAAATTGACTTCAGTTTGTACTTCTATTAACCAAGTGCTTCCATATTACTGTTTTCTCATGATTTTCTTCCTTATTGTAACCTATCTTACGTTACTAATATTGTTTTGGAGTAGATATGAGACCATTTATTTTTAGTACAAGGTGGTCACAATTAATCGTCACCGTTAGATGTGAAATTAGACAGGTTGAATTTATTCAATGGACCATGCTCAAACTTCAAGAAAATTTTCTTGAACATTGTGACACATCCAAGCCATTAGATTTCACATTGGATGGTTGTAAGTAATGGTGATCTCTTTGAATCAAAGGTAAATGGTCTCATTGTATACAATCTCTATTGTTTTTCATTCTTTTTATACCCGTATGGGCTAATCTAGGGGAAAAACTAAAATGTGGACTAAAGTTCTTCATCAAATAATTATGCTCTCTTTAATTATTTTAGACTTGGATTAGTGTTTGATATTTCTTTTCCAGTGTTTTTGCTAGGGAAAAAACAGAAATTTTTGCTAAAGTACTGAAGCTGTATCCAATTTCAATCAGTAAACAAAGAATGAATATGAGAAAATGAATGAGTATTTGGAAGTTAAATGTAACAGCTGTCGAAATTATGTGCCAAACAGATCAAAATTTGGCTGGCTACAGTAGCTCTATTTTTTTGTTATTGAAACAATTGTGTCTAGCACATAGGACTCTTGGACTGCACAATATAGTATTTACTGTGCTTCTTTAACTCAACATTGTGTAATTTTGAATGTGCTTGAGATTATGTCCTTCACTTCTCAATGATAAGGTGATTGAGTTTTTTAATTTATAATGAGTTTTTTATTTTTTCTGATGAATTAATCAAGAACTTTATTATTTTTATGAAGAGAGAGATCATAATTTTCTACTGTTTTTACTTGCCTCTTTGCAGGAAGCAAGGTCGACAGGTACTACTTGCTCAAATCTGAAATTAGAACCAACTTTCGATAAGGATGTTGGCTTTCGAAATCTGACGTGATGTTGCTAAAGAATGATGCTGTTGAGTTTAGTGCTAGCCTTGAAAATGGAGGTTCTCAAAGTATTGAAACTGTATGTGAGGTTTCAAGGCCAGAAACACCAGCTATGCGGCCACTAGTTCCCCCTTGAAATGAATGCAAGAGGAACAGTGTAACTTCAATGATATGCTTAGAGATTCTTTGACGTTTGGCTTAAACAAAAAGCAAAAATTGGTTTAGGATTTAGGCTTAGGGTCAGGCATTGGTAGTTACGGTGGAGCATCTGAAAATATAGGCAGTGAGTTTGAATGGCTCAACCCATCATCGATAAGGGGCTCAAATAAAAGAAGACCAGGTGATCCCCTTTATGATAAGCGGATCCTCTACATACCTCCTGATGCCTTAAATAAGATGTCTGCATCCCAGAGACCGTATTGGACTGTGAAAAGCCAGTATATGGATGTTGTGCTCGTCTTCAAAGTGGTAAGTTTGAATCATACTTTCATGGGTTCTCTAGTTCTGTCGTTTTTATATGGTTTCTCTTCGTATATTGAAAACACCCTTTACTGTTCCCATAGCCAACTAGTCATGACAATGTTCACAACTTTATATTGCATTTTCTATTCGTTTTCATGTCACTTAGTTGCATACATACCAAGTGTACTTTCAACGATTCTCATGTTGTTTCTTGGAGTTTTTTTTTTAGTAAAAAATGCCTCTTGTACACAATTGGATCTCTGATGACCATGTATATCTGAATATTTCTCTTTTCTTATGCCGGTCAGGGCAAATTTTATGAGCTATATGAATTAGATGCAGAGATTGGTCACAAAGAGCTCGATTGGAAAATGACATTCAGTGGTGTGGGTAAGTGTAGACAGGTAAAATTTCTATCTTCCTGATGGCTTTTTTCGTTCAAGCAACGGGATATTTACTTTTGCAAGATGCTAATCTCTTAAAATGGATATATTTATTTCTTTCAATAATGCCCATCAAGTTAACCTTTTATGAATATTGGCTGCCATGTTGCTTATGCACTCATGCTCTCTTTCATTTTTATTGCAGCTCATCTCAATAGCAAGCAATTTGTTCTGCTGTTGTTATGCATTTTAACGCTTTTCTTCTGATGATTCTGAAGGGGTTCTTGATGAAGGGGGAAAAATGATATAATGTGATACAGCCTATGAATTATGATCTGTTTTGCAGTTAATATGTTTGCTTTGTGTTAAACGTTCAAATGGAAGTTGTAGTATAATCATGAACATGACTACTATAATTGGTTATTTTAGAATTTGTGTAGGGGTCCCAGTTTATCTATTGCACATGTATTGTGTCCAGCTTTCATGACTCGGACATAATCTAGAATGGCTCGTATGAATTAATATTGTAAATCCAATTTTTATGTTGATATTAATATACCTTTTACCTTGTGGGCAGGTTGGCATTTCTGAGAGTGGAATAGACGATGCTGTTCAGAAGCTGATAGCCCACGGGTATGGATATTTTCCGTGTGACCATCCCATGGAAACTTCTAACCAGTGTACAGAAAAATGGCTCGGCCAAGGTATTCAGGCGTTGGCTGAGGCAAGTTGCTCGGGCTGAGTCTGAGTTAGAAGTTTCTAATTGCTTTCTTCTTCCCTTCCCATGCGTTGGCAAGAGTACTGCCAATTAACTGGGTGTGCCGTGCCTAACATTTTCATGCATCTGTTTTAGTCACTTAGGCACGGCATACCCAAAAATGTTAATATGGAAGACCAAAAAATGTTGTGTAATTTAACTCACTTCAGTTTTAATATGGAAGATACAAAGTTGCAAGAATGGAACAAACCAAGACAGCTGATCATGCTAAGGCTACAGGAGGAGCAAGTGCTGTAAGTATTTCATGGGGCTTTGGGACACATTGTGTGCAGGTGTTGGCATGGATGTTGTGTTCGTGGGTGTTTTTTGCAAACTGACAATTGTATTGTCTCTTCCCAAACTAGTTTTTCATATAATAGTGCATTGGAGATTCTCTCTGTGCTTTTTTCCTTGTGCAACATATGTTTTGAGGGATGATATTGTCATTTTGGGCATGCACCTTTGTGTGTAGTTCAGTAAGATTTTACTATATACCCTTGTATATGTGTGCTTATTTGTGATTACGTGTGGAGTATAGGACTATGCAGGGTTCTGTTCTGCTCATAACTATGCTTATATTTGCAGGTGATTAAGCGGAAATTGGTTCATGTATAAGCGGAAATTGGTTCATGTCTTTACTCCATCGACTTCGGATGGCAACATTGGACCTCATGCCATTCATCTTCTTGCTTTGAAAGAGGTATGCAATGTCATCCTCTGGGTACTTTTCTGGAATTTGAGGGTCTTGTATTCTGTTTCGATGTTGAATGTGCCTTGTTGGTATTTTTTTAGTCTCCTGTATTTTTATGATGCTAGAAAATGCTTAAAAAATATGCTGCTCTTAAAGTACTATTTTTTGTTATTTTTTGGCTCTATTGGTGATGCAATAATCATGATCCTTATTGTTTTCTTCAAAAGGTCATTAAAGCATTTTTTGGGAAGCTTAATGATGCTATGATTCCAGTTATTGATGTCATGGACTCGGTGAATTATGTCACATTCATCAGCCCTTCCTAATCAGGGACATATGAGCATCAGTTTTTCAAATTCAAGATACTTCTATGATAATTCTGGTTTATGTTTTAACCTGCATTATATTCTTATCTTCAGGGATGTTCTGGCCCACATGGTGGCAGTTCACCTGTTTATGGATTTGCCTTCCTTGATTGTGCTGCTTTGAAATTTTGGGTTGGTTCATTAAGCGATGATGCTTCTTCTTCTTCAGCATTGGGAGCTTTGCTGATGCATGTGAGTGACTTGACTTTCATCCATATTGCTTTTCATAAGATTTTCAGATATGTGTGCGGTTGACTTCCTTCTTTTGTGTTTCAGGTTTCCCCTAAAGACTTGTTGTATGAAAATGGAGGTAGACTTCTTACTGTTGTTTCTTGATTTAGTTGATGAGATCTATTTTATTGGATGTAGTCCTGAATATTCGTTTGGTGCAGGGTTCTCGAAGCAAACTCAGCAAGCACTTAAAAGGTTTGCTTCAACTGGTGAAATTTTCAAATGAATATCTCATATTGAAAGTTATATGGAAGAGTTTCCTGATGATAATTGTACCTCCTGGTTTATACAGAATTTTTGAGGCAGGATGCTTGCTTGTAGCCTGTATGAATGTTTTCCTCAAATCATTTATTTGATTTCTGCTGCCTAATGTAGCATCAATGGTCAACTAATCACTATAATAAAAAATTTAGCAAAAACCCTAACTAAATGAGATCCATCTGCGACTCAAACTATGGAAGAAAACTTTTGCAGTGTCCCTGCAAATTGATTAGTAGTAACCACATTGGTTGACCAGTACTTGCTCACTTGAGTTCTGACTAACAAATAGAGATCGTCATATCCTATTCTAAGAAATTTCAAGGACCTTATAATTGATGCAAACCAGTTTCTTTACACAAGTGTGCTCAGGTTTCAAGCTTTGATGGCAAGGTGGATGGGGATAAACTGAGATATTGCATACATGAGCTGATGGAGAACATAAACTGCCATCACCTTTAAGTTGATAAAGAGAATTGAATGACATAGAAGAAACCCACACAATACATATGCATACTTGATGATTATTGCCTCCTTATATCATACCATTACTTAGGGCTGCCAATTATGAAGAAAGGTTCAGGAAATTTGAGATCAATGGCTTCATATACCCCCTGGCAATTGAAATGGATCCTATTGCAGTTGATGTGATAATTCTATAGTTGAAAGTTTTGGCAAAATGTTATGTCGGCTACCTACCTAACACAATCCACCTCTTTTACTCGAGCTTGTGATGGTTTAAGAAAAGTTTAAGGTTATCACAAATTCTATTTCAGTGATATATAAAATAATTAAAAATAAATAAAATAAAAACTAAAATAGGGGTTTATGAGGTGGCGATTTGGGGGACTTTAAAAAATTTGGATAAGCTTAGAAAAGGAAAAAAATAAAACAGAGGGCTTTAGGGGCAACAAGGCCAGCACCCATACCATCCCAAAAATTAGTTCGGACTTAACCGATTCTTGATCTAAGTCGGTGATCCAAATTGAGAATGATTTGAGTTTTAAAACATTGCCCACGAATATGTAATTTAGAATTTCCAAAAAATTCAGGTCTAGGGTGTCCGTGAGGACTTGAAATGGATAGGACATAAAATGCATTAGAGGACATACCATCTCGGTATATACATTTTCTGATAGGGTATATTCCATAAATAAAATTGCATTTTTTTGGATGAGATTTTAAAGGGCGTACAAAACTATGGCCCTATAAAATACGTCACAAAACAATGGCCCTATAAAATATACATCTCAGAACCGTTGCCCTATAAAATATACTTTCCATTTATGTAAAGAGATCGACAAGTCTCTCTCTATGTTAATGTGCCAGGCCACATATGGAAATACTATTTTTAATCATTTTCTCCCCTACTCATTTTTTTAAGTAAATTAGGAGTTATAGTTTTTCAAAGTATCGGTAGGATGGTTTGTGAGGAATGAAAACCACAACATGCCTAGAGTGCTGGGGTGCTACCGCCATGAAACCCCAGCCTCTATTACCATCAATGCCAAAATCAGGCTCATAACATTAAATTATAGTTTTTTAAAAAAGGTATGGTTTGTGCTAGTCTCATGCCCTAAACAATCAAAGTTAGGAGTCCTTTCAAATAATAGCAAAATATATTAGTTTTAATATTAGAAATCTTTACAATGGCCTAAAAATTTATTTTAAACTTTAATTATAAAATTTAAAAGATACAAAAATAGTGTGAATTGAGTAGATCTATGAACGGTTGAAAATCTTGAAAATTTACGGTCTAGATGATACATTACAAGATGTAATTTTTCCAAAATTTGAAATGAATTTTTATTATGTCCATACATTTTGAGGTGTCTTAATTTGATTGTTTAAAGTCTCACCTTATAAACTTTTTTCTTTTAAAAATCATAATCATTAACTATTAGAAGTACATCTTATAGAAGCACTAAATAGTTGCAGGAAAATTGTTCCATGTGTTGGGTGCATTTCTACATTTGTTGGCCCCTGAGGTATAAGCAATGTTTTCAAATTCGCTTCACTTTGCTTCGGCCGCAGAGGCTGAAGATTTCGGATTTTAGGCATAAACCGAAGAGAACAAAGCTTGGTGTTGTCGCTTTGTGATTGTTTTGGGTTGCTTCGATCAAATTCGGACCGCTTTGGATTTGCTTTGGGTATGCTTTGGGTCTGTTTTGGATCTATTTCGATTAGCAAAGAAATAACTATATAAATGTTATATTTTTTTAAAAAAAGTTTCCATTATTTGTATA